ATCTTACAGTTTTCAATTTTGAAAATTAAAATTTTAGATTTTATTTAAATTAAAATTTTTTGTTCATGTATTTTACCCACATATTACGTGCATCTAGATATTTTTTTTCTTTCATTCATTGAAGTATGAGTGCAAGTATCTAATTGAAAGGTTATAAAATTGTCATATAAGATAAATTAAAAAAAAAAGATAATAAAACAGTGTTTTTTTTTTTTTTTGGAACCGAAATTTTCTGTAGAATTTTACTGTTTTTTTTTCTTCTTTCAGTGGTTGTATTTTCCTTTTCATTTTATTACAATTTTATTTCTTCAAATAACATTCGAAATATTTGACTTGAATCGTCCTTTGAAATTAGATATCTACTTATAACATTTTTCTTTAAATATTCCTACGAGCTAAGAATAAAGAATATTAAAAAATTGTTAATATCTTAAGTCAATAAATAAGGTTTGCAATTGTAACATAATATGTTTTTGTGTATTAGGTGAGCCTTTTTATCAGAAGGGTTTCTTATATTTCTGACTTCAAAAAATTAAATAGGCCAAACAACTCAAACTTTTTAAAATAAGCTACCCAATGAAAGAGAACTCTTGTTCAATTGTACAATTTTATATTAAATTGGTGAATTACTAACTTCATATTGACCGCTTTGTATATACTATTAGTTTGCCAATAGGCATATACGTATATAGGATTGCAACGACTCAAAAAACTGTAATACAATTCATAATATCTAAAATTTTAATGTTTATGTGACATCAATTATTTTTGGGATTTTAATATATAAGTATATGTAAATTCTTACTTTCTTGAACCAGTCTGTGATAAACAAAAATTTTAATTAATTGCAGTCAAATTTCAATATAGACTTTCTTAATTCAATTTTTAACTAAATGTTACCTAAATAAATTTCTCTTAGAAGGTTTCTATTAAAAAATAGCATAAATACAAACACATTGACTAAGAGCTCGTAAATAATAATAAAGATAGCTATGTTCTACTTACATTCATACTTTATGTACGTATATATAATTATCTCATACATTTCGAAATAAATGAATGAAAAACATTATATACAAACATTTTATAATATGTGAGTCTTTAATTTGATGGGATGATTTTAAAATGATTTTTGAAAAAAAAAAATTAAAAGAAACTGAATTTGATCCACATCTAAAAAGAAAAAAAAATTGAGTAGAAATGAAGAAGAGAAAATGAGAAAATTGGCAGTGGAAATGAAATAAGAAAAATTGTTATAAAAAGAGTGTATCTTTTCAAGTTTATATATTTTGGAATTACCGCATAAAAACGATAAAGGTACATGATTTCCTTTTCACGTTTTATGAAGAAAAACAAGAAAATTTTCCATTTTACTTTAATTTTTTTTTTTTTTGAAATAAAATAAATATCATATAACTGGGTAATATCAATGTTTGTCATCTGACACGACAATCAATTTAAGAAGTTTTTAAATGGTTCCGAAAGAATTTTTTTCCTAATGTTTTCTTTTATTGTTACAATTTTTCACTTTTCTTGATTTCTTTTCTTCATCTTTTTTCCCTCTTACTTTTTTCTTGCAACTTCTCTGTCTCAATTTATATACATATCTATTGTATTTTCTTATTTATTTTTCATTGGTGTCTTTTACACCCAATTTTCTGATAAAATTTATTATAAAATTTAATGTTATGTTTTTTGTTATATGGTTACATAAAATTATATTACCAAAAACATATACATATATACAAATAATATAATATATTTATATATAGAATGTGTAATTGAAACAATGAAATCCAAAAATTTTTAACTTAAAATTTGAAAATTACATAAAAGTGGAAATTTTTGAAATATTTTTATGTTCAAATTATGAAATTTGGAAATGAAATGAACGCGATTTTGAAACTATACACACTCAGTATACAATCTAAGAAAGAAACTAAAAATCCTTTCCACATTCAAAAGTAATCCAATCCATTTATGATGTTATAGGTGATTTTATAAACCTATTAATTTAATATGTGAAAGCTTTTGTTGATTTTCAAAAATTTCTATATCCTTTACTGAGATTTTAATACTGTTCAAAAATAAATATCAAAATGCACTTAATTATATTATAAGAGTAAATATGATTCTAAATTTAATTACATATTAATCACCATTAAAAGTAGTTATACCAATTAACAACTTAAAACCTAGAAATTGAAGAAGATAACTTATTTATACAAAAATTTGCATTTGGTCCATATTTCAATCGTTAAATTTAATGATTCTTACTAAATACTAATAAAAAGTGTAATTATTTAAAAAAATTATTAATTCTTATAAGAATAACAACTATAATGGAAATTTCTTCACATAACTGCAGAACAGATGGATGACCTAATCAAGGATAGATCACTGTTTCGAATCCAGTTCGAGTAGAAAAAACTTTTCAATAAAAGGCAGTACAATACACAAAACACACCTGTGATTTTTTTTCAATTTCAAAACATTTGACAAAATATAATCTAAGTATTGGCGAACAATAATTATATATACGAAAATGTCATGTCCGGAAACGTTAGTGGCACATTTTTTAGAAAACAAATTTTCAATATCAAAATCGTTTTTGCAATTAGTCTTTTGAAAACAATTACTCTATTTAAAAATAAATAAATCGGAGTATTGAAAATAATATTTAAAATAATTTAAAAAAGTAGTAAATATAGCAATTAATTACATAAATTTTAAAAAAAAATGATTGAAAGATTTTAAATCCTAAGTTTTTTAAATGGATTTGCCTTATAAAATCATATTATAATGCTTACAATATCCATACATATAATACTGAGGTTGGATTCATTTTGGAGACAATTTTTATCAATAATTCCAAATAATTTTTTTTTTCTAAAATGTGGGATATATTTTACTTTCTAATGAGACAATGTTCGGAAGTATAATGTAAAATGGGATGTTGACAAGTACAGTAATATTCTGTTAAAAAAAATTCTTACAATTTTCATTAATTCTCGATTTTGGATCCACTTTTCCGAGATTTTACTGTAACCATTTTCATTCTTTAATATCTAAGATGTGGAAATGAAGTGATAATGGACAATTTATATTCGTAATAAAAAAAGGAAAATGTACATATTACGTATACATTTTTGTATATATATATATATATATTTACAATCATTTATTTATTTGAAGATTTAAAGTTATTTATTAAGAACATATACACAATAAAAAAAAAAAAACACATAATGTACTTTATATATTTAAACGACAATATCGTATAAGATTTAATGTTTTTATAATATAAAATTAAAATAAAATTATGTAGAAATACTTAAAAAAAATACAAAAAAAAAACAAAAAGAAAATGCTTACATTACAACGTTTTAATTTTCTCAAATAATAAAGGTGTAAAAGTGTTGTGGGTGTAAGGGGTTTGAGTTATAATTTTGCGTTTTTAAATTAGGTTTTGTTTTCCCCCATTTTCTCTTTAAAGGATAAAAAAAACAACAACAATAACAAATATATTTTTATGTGAATTCCTGTTGAAAAAAATTTTTTATTTTTTACTTTTATTTTTTTGTTTTCTTACAATTTGGTAATTTTCAATTTTTTATTATATTGTGATAAGAAAGAAATGTAATATATTTAATTTTCGTTTTTTTTTCTCTGTGTTCTTCAATGTTTGTAATTTGAATAATTACCTTAATTTATAGGGAAATTACTTGGAATGTTTTCGAATATTAAAGTAAATTTTATGTTTACTTTTTTTTTTATTATTAAATAAAAAAATTACTTTAAATATTTACATATATCAAGAAAATACGCGAGTATTCTTAAAATTTAATTGTTTATTATTAACTTCATTAAAATTTAAATATGTTTTTTTTTTTGAAAATTATTTTCCAATTTATCTACTTACATACTTAATACACAATTATAATGACTACAAATTACAAATAAATAACCTGTTTTTTGTGAAAAATTTAATATTAATCGTATAACACTTTAAATCACTTTTAAAACGACTCTTAATTAACTGACAATAATTATTTAATTAAATTAAAATTTAAAAAAAAAAATTGTAAGAAAAATTTTAATTATACATAGGCTGTTAAAAATAGTAAATAACATATAGAAATATTACAGTTAACAAAAATTATTATATTTTAATGTTTGATTTAATTTTTAATCATTAAAAATAATTGTATAATTAATTTAGGCTTTTAGTTTTGAAATTATATTACAATTTATTGAAAAATATTAAATTAAATTTAGGAACTATTCAAATACATATAACATAGCAATTCTAATGAATAAATAAATAAGAAATTTAACGCAATTTTAGAAATAAATTAAATTTAATTACAATATGCTTAAAATTAAAAATAAAATTAATAAAGGCGTACCAGTCTTGTTTACTCTAATCTTTAAGCAAAATATCATCGAAATCGTAACTAATTTTAAAATATTCAATTAATTTATGTGATTTTTATGCAGACAAAAATAAAATTCTAAATGAAAATATGGAAATTTACTCTGAATTAATTTTAACAAATTTTTATTTAATTTTTACTTGGTTACTTTTTTTTTACTTTCTTATCATAATATAAAAAATTTTGTATTATCCAAAAACTTTTCAATTTTTTTTTTTTTTTTACTGCAAAAATTTAATATTAAACTGAAAATATCAATCTTATCTCTTGAAATTACTCTGTTAATATTAAATTTTTCCAGTCTTCTTTTCATGAAAAAATTGCATATTTTTAGGATGAGTTTATATTATTGAAGACATTAACCAATTGAAAAAATTTTTATTTATCCCTCTTCATTCTAACTTAGATTTAATTGAGTTGAAAAAAATTTTTTTTTTTTCGGTCCAAACTATTTTATTTATTTATTTTTTATTTTTTTTCTTTCTTCAATTAAATTAATTTTTTTTCTTGTTTAAATTTTTTTTTTTTTGTTATTTTTAAACGAAAAAAAAAATATCATTACAGTCAGAGTTATGGGAATGGATGATACCTACCATCAAACAGTCTATGACGAAAGTTTGGCACTCATTGATACTCCACTTATAGTTTCAACCAGTACACATTCCTTCCATCATCATAAGGCTGTCACATATCCATACAATTTGACTGCATTCCAAGGAACCAATACTGCATCAATGGAAGTAGATGGCAGTAGCACCAACGGCTATGATTATAAAAGTATGTCATTTCGGTGTGTTAACAAATTTACAAAACAAAAAAAAAAAGCATATATAAAAAATTAAATAAAAAAAAAAAACAATAACACAATCAATTAAAAAAAAAAAATATAAAATTTAAAAAAAAAAACAGATAGGTGCTTAGTTTTTACAAAAAGTAATTATATAGAGTACAAACATTTAGTTATTTATATATATATATAATTTTTTTTTGTGTTAGCTATTTGAATGAAAGTTTAGCATTTATACAATCCCTTTTTAATATACCAAAATCACAACACAACTCTATGATTATCTCAATAAAATATTTTTAATACGAATATAGTCATCAATACCATTAAGAAATTTATACAACAGAGCAAAAAATCCTGTAGTGTTTAAATTAAATATAGCATGAGTTGAGTATGAATATCTGCCCCCAGTCGCATAAATCAAACTATAATGCAAAAAATTATAACTTCGTTTAGCAAAAAAAAATTTGATTGGGAAAAAAATATCTAACATTTTTTTTTACAAAACTTGTTAGAAAAACAGCCAAGTTATTTTTGAAAAAAAATCTCTTTAAGAATTTTATATTTGTTTTAACAATATTTTGTTATTTTTTTGATTTTATATTTTGTAGGCAAAGTTCTTTGTTATTTTATTATATATGTATATATTTTATATATATATATATATTTATATTAATTATAATTATAAATATTTTTAATTATTTTTATATTTTAGAAAATTGTTACCATTTTACGAATAAACTAGAAATTTTCGTTATATTAAAATATTTTTATAAATTTGTTTTTTTCATAATAATAATATGTTAATTATTTTGAGAATATTTAAAAAATTATTAAATTTATACATATTATTATATATATATACGTTATATTTTCATATTATTATTAAAAATAATATTTAAAGCTTTATTCAGTTCGTATTTATTAAAAAAAAATATTAATAATAAATAATAATTTTTTAACAATTTTTTAAATTAATAAAAAAAAATTTTTGTTACAATTTGTTATTTTTTTTCAAATAAATTTTATATTGTATATTATGAATTACATATGTATAAATAAAAATTTTTTAATTGTGTAAATTTTTTTTAATTATTTTATTAAATATTTTCATTATAAATTAATTTTATATATTTTAAAAAAAAAGAAGAAGAAAAATTAATAAATTTTGTTCTTGTTTAAATATATATATATATATTCTATAGTTATTGTTTAATTGAATTCATAAATATTTTTAAATAAATTTAAATTAAATTTTTTAATCTTTTTTTTCGAAAAAAAAACCAAAAATTTTATTAAATTATTAATAAAATTAAATGTAATATTTATATAAATGAAATAATACCGTATTATGGTGATTTTGTTGGATATCGTAAAAGAGGTATAAAGAAAATTTTTTACATATTTAAAATATATTTTTGCTTTTTCATATTTAAAACTTATTTGGGTACATGGCTATTAAAATCTAATATAAGACTAATGAATGTGCATCAATTTTATTTCAATGATATAAATCAATTTTTTTCAATATAAGTATTTTGAATTAATTATAGTTCTGAGTTTGATGGTCGTACTGAATATATATAAGTTTTTAGAGTTCAGTTTTCTGGGATTCCTCAACAGCTGAATAAATTGTAACCAATTTTATTGAAATATTCCAGGAGATAAATGTACAAATTTTTAGTAATAAAACTGACAATTTCCTGTGTCACATAAATTAAATTTCGAGATTTTAAAGTTGTTTTGGAAAATTAGTCGAATTTTTAGAATTTCGTCTTACTTATCTTTAAATTATTGCTTTTATTGAATAAAATTTTTAAATAAGATTAAATAAAATATGTATCATTTGATATCTCAATGTCATATTAAGTGGATTTAAATGAGTGCATTTCATATTACAATAAAAAAAACGTATTAATTGCTTAATAAAATTTCCGATATTGTAGCCATTTTATTGCTCTGTCTTTAGGGAAATATTTCAATATTTTCCTAAAGTTCTTATTCTTTAAATATAAGAGATCTCATAATTTTGTTTTTGGATTGTAATATTAATAAATTCAATTTGCAAAATGTTAAAAATATTAAGAAAAAAAATTATGAATTAAAACATAAAAATTCAGAAATTCTGTTAAATAACAATAATGACAGAAGAATTTAATAAAAAGAAGGCATTGAAAAGCAAAATGACCCAAATTTCTAATTTCAAGATAATTGAATAAAACTATTTTAGGAAACATATTAATTAACATAAAACGGTGCAAGTCTGGATATTTCATTGGTAAAAAAAATGTTATACACAAAAATTTCAAATTGAATTTAAAATCGAATTTAATTTCGATAAATAGAGCGAAAATATATTAAAAATTTTAAAATGGTATCAATTTTAATTAAATATTTTTGTTTTTTTTTTGCTATTATTATTTTGCGTTTTTCCTTTTGTTCATTTTAAAATTAAAACAAAATTTATATATATACATACATGTTATACATATATATAAATACTTGTATAATCGGAAATTATATTTTATTTACAAAAATATTTAATTTTTAGCTTTAATATATTTTGCTAAATTTCTTATAATTTTTTTTTTCTTTAATTTAAATTTTATTTAATATACAATAACGAAATATAGCAAAGAAATTAGAATTTTCGACGAAGAAGAGTAGCATAAAATAATGTTAATAATAAAATTATTTTAAATTATAAATATTAATATTATATAGAGAAACAAAGTTATTTTGTAACATTATTTATTAAAAATTTTCTAAATGTTTAAATATTTTTCATAATTTTATGTAAGAAAATTAAATTTATCTTCAGTTTTTTTTTTTTTGGTTCTCATTTTATATTTAATTTTTTTCTTCTTTACTTTGTTATTATCCAAAAAATCTAAAAAACAAAAAAATATTTTAATGCTGCTTCTTTGTCCAGGTATCTAGTCAAGAAATTTTAGGTGACCCCACAAAAATAATTTCAAAATCCCTAAAGAATTAATTTTTTGTTTTCATTTTAATAATTTTAGACTACCATTTTCTTTATTCAATTTTTTTTTTTTGAATTTATACTACTATGTTATTAAATTTTGTGAAAATTAAGGTGTTTTTGTTCCATCATTAAGTTTTTTTGTAAAATATTTTTAAAAAATAATAATTTTGTTTTTAACTTTATAAATTATAATTTTAATATTTTTTTTTTTTGATTTTTGAAAATATTCTGTTTTTGTTTTGTTCTTGTTTTGTTACTTGTTCAAGTTAATTATTTTTGAAAAAAAAAAATGTTTATTTTGACAACAATATTGTTAAGATTTTTTATTAATTTTTTTGTTTTTTTGTTAAACCTGCTTCTTGTTCAAAATTTTTAATATTCTTCGTTCGTCCTTTACTTTTTCGTCGCAAAAATTAATTTGTTTTGTACTATTTTCTTTTTTTTTTGTTAAATAACAAATTTTTACAATTTGTTGAGTTTTCTTTACATAATATACTTACATATATATATAAATATTATTATATATATTCTTAATTTTCTTAAAAATAAGGAAATCTTTTAAACAAAAAAAAAATTTTAATTATTTTGTTTTTTACAATTTCTAAAAAATTCTGTTCTCAATCCTTTTTTACTTTTGGTTTTTTTTTTTGTTAATTCGAGTTGAATTTTTAAATTTTAATAAATTTTTTTAATAAAAAGATAAAAATTAAAAAAAAATAAATGAAAAAAAAGTTGAGTTTTTTTTACTCCCCAAAATTTGAACAATTTTGCACGCAATATTTCTTTTCTTCCCCCCCATGCACAAAATATTTGATAAAAAAAAAAACAAAAATTGAATCTTTTTTATACCGAAATTTAAAACTCTTTTTATTAAACCAAAAAAAAAAATTCATTTGAAATTTAAATACATTCATATATATATATATATATATACATATAAATAAAATATATAATTCAATAATTGTAAATTTTTTTTAAAAATATTAAAATTTTTCTTCAACTTTTAACTTTATATGTATATAAATATAAATTATTACCTATTTACATGAAAACATCATTTTTATTCTATGTATAGGTAAAAATAAAAAAAAAAGAACATCATTATATTTTTTTTTCATTTATAAATAAATCATAATTTTATTATATAAAAAGTGTTATATAATTATAACATATTTGAATATTTTTCAAATTTTATACTTGTGTTAATTTCCAAATTTAAAAATTCTTTTTTTGTTTTTTTAATTTTTCCTATATATTCCATTTATTTATTTCTTTTATACATAAAAATTATTAAATAACGATATTTCTCTGTCTTAAATTTTATTTTCTCTTTTATATTATACATACATATATACATGTATATATCTATAAATAATTAAATAATACTTAAATTCAAAATGAATGAAATTTAATTGCCTATAATTAATTTTGTATATATACAAAATATAAATATATATATATACATATACATATGTATCTATTTTATTATATATAAAAAAAATTATTTTGCAGAATATATTCTTAAAAGAACAAAAACAAAAAAAAATATATAATTAATTAAAATTATTAAAATTAATTTTTGTATTTTCAAAAAACTAGTTATACATTATAAAAATGCCATGTGTATAAATTAAAGAAAACTAATTTCTAAAATAAATCAAAATAATTCAATAATATTTTCTTCAACTTCATTTTTATTTTAATTTCATTTTCTATTTATAAGAAACCATAATTAAATTTATCATAACGTAATTAATTTGCCCATATAGAAAATGCAAATTTCAATTCATTTTTTTTTTGTTGTTTTGTCAAAATCATTAACTTTATTTTCATATACTAGAGTGCTGCTTTTTTATATTCTATATAAATTGAGAAAAAAAGTGAAAATATTTAAGTTTTTAATTTAAATTTTAAGGAATTTTTTTTTGTTCATTGCTCCTTTTGTAAATTCATTTTCGTTATACAAAATAGTTAAAAATTACAAAAACAAAAAATAACAAATAAGTCTTGTAAATATCATCAAATTCAGGAATCATTTTTTAGATATTATTTTTTTAATTCTGTTAATATTATGATTATATAAAAATAAAATTATTATTTGTATATTATTTAGCATTTATTACAAAATATTTTCAATTATTAAAATAAAATATTAAAACGTCCTCGAAAACATGAATTAATATCCTGTAATTAATCTCTCTAAAGTTTAGATTGATTTTTACTTAACAAAACAAAAGCAAAATGAAAATTTGAAAATAGTTAACTTTTAAGTAGCCGTAGGCAAAGTGTTGCCTATTCAACATCAAAATGCGGCTCATCATTCTACTTGCAAGAAAAAAATATATTCGATTACAGCAATTAAAATTTGAACAAAAAAATTTTCAAAAAAATGGATTCATGAAGTACAATGCAAAATTTATTATTTGTCAAAACCAAACAATGAATAAAGTCAGTTAAAAATTTCATTCCTTCTTTATGAGTAGGTAGTGTAAGAATCTCGAGTGGCCCATACTCATACTTACATAGTACATATTTGCCTATTACCCAAAGTATACGTTTAATACTATTTAAAAATACAATTCCAATAGAATTTTTATTAATATTCTATTTTTCAATGGCAATATTACGTATATATTTTAAATTATATACATTTCTGTTAAGTAAATCATTTAATTATTATGAAAAATCATCTCCAATTGATTGAACGTAAAAAATAATTTAAATAACATTATATTTCACGCGGATTGCAATTTAATAAATATTATTTAACAGATATTTTGTATAACATAAACATTCTCGATCGAAATTTCTACAGAATGTTGATATTTTTCCCTTACAATATTATAGTAATTATGTGAGTACTTTTTTACATAGCACATTACAAATAGTTTTGTGGCTCTTATTGTATAAAAAGAAAAATAAATGTACAAAACTAGAAATTTTAACATTACATTTTAAATTTTTTAAATATTTTAATAAAATTTTCTAACAGGTGATACCGATTTTATTATTTAATATTACATGAAATGAATAATACAATAAATCTTGATCTTCCAGCTTGTTATGCTCTCATATCTAATCGCAATATATTATATAATTGCAATATAATATAACTGCTTGTTTATAAAATCGTGGAAAGCACATTTAAGCAACTATTCGTCAATTCAAATCGATTATTTTAACTTAAAAAATTGCAATCAAATTGTATTTAAAATTGCGTGTATTGTATGCGATTGAATACCATAACCAAATGAATACAAATAAGCAATCAAACAGTTTCAAAACTGAAAATTTCATATCTGTCTGTGACCTAACTTATTATGTTATTTTCTTATTAATTTTTTAAAACAGCCATATATTGTATTTTTTGTCTTTCTCTCCATTATACTGAACAGGATTTAATGGTTTCTCCCAATTTTACCACTTTTTCTTTAAAAATAAAAATATTTGTAAGCCGTTTAAAACTATAATGCATTCAGCTAAACACATATTTGGAACATCAAATTCAAATACTGCGTCTGTCTAATAAATGTAATAACAAAATAATAATGTTATATTTTAAATATTTGTTAGTACATTATAGAGACGAAGAATATTCTCTACATACGCCTTTTAAATTGTTAAGTAAATAATTTAAAAATATTTTTCATTTCTATAAAAATCAATAAATTTTAATCCAATTCAAGGTTAAATAAAATGCAACGTTTTTAAAAAAAATTTTATTAATTTTTTTTTATAGTTATTAAGTAAAAATCAATTGAAAACTACAAAAAAAAAAATTAATTCTTATTTCTGATTTTTCTATTTTTTTTCTCGATACTATGACTACATTAAATAAAATTATTTTTTTTAGAAAATCTCAGCTGTTTATTTTTTTTTTTATTATTAAATTTTTCCTCATTTTATTATTTATCAGATTTTTTCTTCACAATTTTTTTTTTAAATTTTCTTTGTTAAAATACAAAAATTTTAATAAATTCATTTGTCAGGTTGTATATTGAAATTTACAAAATATCATACATTATCATTCAATACTCAAATAATGTACATTTTTAATAAACGATATTATATACGATAAAAAAATACAAATCTGACTATTTGGAATAGAAAACTATTATGTGAATAAAGGAAAGCAAAAAATATCTAAAGTCTTTCTAACATTAAAAGAGTAAAAAACTGAAGTTTATTACGAAAAAATGAACAACAAGGATTTTATATTTGAAAAAAAAAACAACAACAGCAACAACAAATTATAATAAAAAACCTTCTTTACAAAATAAGCATTAAAAAAAAACATTTACAAATATAAAAATCTACAATAATTTTTATATTTTTTTTTTTTTTTGCAATTTAATTCAAAAATATTGAATATCTAAATTGATTTTTTAAGTTTTTTTTTTCTATAGAAATTTAAGAAAACAATGAAAAAATATTATAAAAAAAACAACATATGCAATTTTTTTTTATTTTTTTTCTTTAAAATTACAATGTCATTTTTAAAATTGAAATCTAATATAATTTCTTTTTTCTTTTTCTTTTATTTTATTTTACGACATTAATTGCTTAAAACTTATTGTTTTTGATTTTTTGTTCAATTCAAAAACAACAAAATTCGAAATTCCGATGCATTTTTCAACAAAAAATTTTGAATGCGTATAACAAAAAATCATCATAATTAAAATTCATCCAAAACATTTGAAACATCCGAATCATATTCGAAAAATTCGAAATTTTTTTGATCATCTGTCCTTTGAATGGAACTTTTTCGACAACAATGAAAAAAAAAAACTGAATAATCGTCAAACAAAATTCATCATCAAAATTACAAAATCAAAAAACAAAAACGAAAATGTTAAATACATACAAATATAAAAATAAAAAATCACAATAAAAACAAAACAAAAAAAAAAACAATTCACATTTGTTTTTGTAAATATACGAAAATATTGTTTACAATAAAAACAAAAAAAAAAAATTGTGATTAAAAATGAACAAATTATGAAATTTTGTATGCGAATTTATGAAAATGCAGGTGGACAAGAAGCGCAAACAGATCGTTCAGCAGAAATAATGAAACTACATTTTCAGGTAAGAATAATTGTATATGATTTTATCATTAAATTTTTTTGTTCAAATGTCATGAGAATGATAGTAGTATTTTGGATGATGCAAAAAATTTCTTTTATATCATAAATATATTGCCGTTATACTACGTCAACAAATCGTTTGAGTTTCTGCGGAATAATTCTAAAATCTTAAATTTTTCATGATCTTATTTTTAGCAGCCTTACAATATCTGGCAGCTTTAATATGACGCACAAATAGGGCAAAGTTATTTTACTGAACCGTTATAATTTTGTTTTATAAAACCAGAGCCAAAAGATTTTTTTTCTATCAAAAAGGAATACCTGTAGGTAGTTATCAGAAGTAACTATAGCTCAAACAATCTGGTATAATTTCATTAAATTTAACTAATTATTATTATAGGGAAAGTTTGAACACTTTTAATCCACCAAAAAGCCATTCCAATCTTTATCTACACTTCTTTTATTAGTTGTTCTGTTGACACTCGCTTACCTGGGTAGATTTTTCAATTTTAATGCCCAATTTTAATGTCTTCTAGAGGTTCAAATAATCAACAAAATTTTCAGTAGCTTTCTAAATATTGACTAGTATTTTAAAAAAATATTTAAATACTTCATCCAGTCTAACCGATTTGATTTGTATACCATTTATTTCGTACACTTAACATACGAACATATAGGGAATAAGTATGCATTTCAATTATAGAATTAAAAAAGAAATATGAATGAAGGCAGATGTTCAAAAAATAAAGCGTAATAACAAATAAAAATTTAAAGAAAATTAAGAATTCTGAATAAAAGTCAACACAGGTGCATGTGCGCCAATTTTATCAGCTGCATAGTGAAAAAAATTAGCCTTACCTAGACCACAGGTGAAAATTTAGATATTCTTTATTTTTTATTTGTGAGTTTATTTAGTTATTCTTTATTTGTGAGTTTTTAAAATGTTCCTAGCGGAAACATTGTTCTTATAAGAGTGTTCTTATAATTAGAAACTTATAAGGCTAAATGTATAACAGATGTTATACAATTACAATGTACTTGAATGTTCGACATAAAGATAAAAATGTAATATAATTGTTCATTGTGATACAAATATTTCTTATAATATCTATACCTCATTAGAAATCGGAAATGATTTTGGACTATAACCGTACAAAGGGCGGTGTCGATAATTGGGACAAAATGCTGTGTTCAAATTATGTAGAAAATCAACAATTTCTTCAAAAATTATTATAAATAACATACAAATATACATAAAAAAGTGTAATAAAATATATAAATTTTTGCATACCTAGTTACAGTGTCCTTTATATTACTTTCGAAAGACTACCCCAATCCAATAAAAAGTGAAAATTTTACTTTCCTGAAAATAATGCAAAAAATTGTACGTACCAGTTATTTTGTAAATTTTTATTCATTTCCTTGTTGTTTTTTTGTAAAAATAATTCTAATATATTTTAAAAGAAGGTTTAAAATAACAAAAGGCAAAAAAAAATCGAAATAATAAAAAAATATAAATTTCCAAATTGAAACAATAAATTTACACGAAAAGATGATCTGAATTGGAAAGATAAACATAGTGTTCTTTATCATAGGAAAGGCAAATAAAAGTGAATTTTCATCACTTTTCCTTCTACTTGATTGTGTATTGAAAGGGTGAAAATTTATATGAGAGAAAATTTTATAAAAAAAGAAGCACAAGAATAAAATTTTTGTTCATTTTGATTAAAATCGAAAATATTTTATTTAAAATAAGAAATTGGAACATGGTTGAATAGATCTCGTTACGACAAACTTCATACACCTAGATAATATTATACAATTTATATTAAAAAATACATTTAAAGACAAAACGTGTAAAAATTGCATTAAATTTTATATAGTTCACCAGAATTTGAATAAATCGTAATAATTTTGTGAAATTGAAATTGTTACCTTGATTTTTCCGTAATTTTAAAAACCTTATAACATTTGAGTAAGTTTCCGTGGTCAATTTTGTATTGCTATATTCACATTTAATTGATTATTGCCGAAAAATTTCAGTAGTTCTTTATATTTGTCTGAAATTGGTAATCAAATTTTAAATAATTTGATTAACTCATATTTTATCAAGCCGAATCGAAAATGTATACTGTATTTCCAATATAAGGAAGGTATAACTAATACCATCAGGCCACCTGCATGAAATTATTTTCCCAAATTTGGCAATCGGGAATACCTTAATGAAGGATATACTAAGTTTGGAATGAAGTTTTCAATAATTTGAAGGAGTCTTCTGTGGAATAAACATGAATATATAAATATATGATATTCTTCCTCAACAAAATATTCTGTACTGATTAACGTGTCCGTTCGCACGATATTTCAAAAACGAAAAATGTGAAAACCAAACTCAAAAAATCTTTGAGCTGTTTGTTAACTATTAACGACCGCTGTTGTAATTAAAACAACGGGTTCCGGCATCTGCCATACAGTTTAGATCATTTTAATTATTTCAAAAACTAATAAAGTTATAGAATTATTAAAATTAGGTAAACATGTGTCCAATTGCATTGCACTTTAAATTTTATAGTAGAATAAGTTGACGATTTCTGGTAGCTGCTATTTAACTTTAAAATTTCTTAAGAAGGTGCGAATCACAGTTATATGCGCCTCAAAAATTTTATTTAGCTGGCTGACTAAATTTTGATATTATTATCAGATTATCATAGCCCAGGTTATGATTCAGTGAGCTGAACTTTACTGAAACGTGTCCAATTATTATACCCATACGAACGAATGTTTGAAGGGTATACTAAATTTGCCTTACTGTTTGTAACGCTAAGAAATAATGGTCTTAGATATAGACTCAAGTGTATATTTCTGATCAGCGTCGTATTTTGAGTTGATTTAGCTTTGTCTGCCCGTCCGTCCGTTCCAAGAATAACTCAAAAACTAATTGAGCTAAGTTCACCAAATTTTCACAGATTATTTATTATAGTAAATGTCAGAATCCTATTTAAATTGGATATGATCAGGGTACAGGTTCGGGTAGCTGCCATACAACTTCAAAATTTATTTGGCAATACATCAGAAACTACAAAAGCTGTGATGTGCAAATTTCACACAAACGAATATATTAGTAGGACCAATGCGTTTGATGAAATTCGTTGAAATTGCTTAGCTCTTTCTGGTAGCTGCCATACAACTTCAAAAGTTTATATAAATTGTAGTACGACAACTTAAAATCATAGTCTGTGACATAGTCAGTTATGGCATATTTATTCGCACATAGGATAGTAAATTCGTACGGGTATCACAGAGTTGACACGGTCAACTCTATTTTTTCTCGATTTTTCATGAAATTTAACATCGGAAAGAATTTTGTATAATTTCGAAGTTACATAATTTATATATAAATAGTATGCTCAAACATTGAATAACAAATTGGAGTACAAATTAAGTATTGAAACAGGATCAAACGCTACCATGCAAAATGTTTTCTCAATTTAGGAACCTAATTGACTAAAAGAAATTTTATTTTCAAAATCTTTATTTTTTTTTAAAGGTTTTCAAAATTAAGTTTCAAAAATCAACTTTAAAATATCAGTGGGTAAATAAATTTATTTTTCCAAATCATTTCTTTCCAATTACATAACTGAAGTTTACACTATACACAAGTATTCGTTCTGTAAGGGGGCAAATTAGGAAACTTTTATATTGCTTATTAATATTACAACTAAAGTAAATAATTTAAATTGGAGCACTATTATACATATGGTACTCTATTTGTATAAAACTTTTCTTATAAAAATCTTCAAATATCTGCATAGATTATTTACTCTAAAAAAAGAAAAATTATTATAAAATCGAATTTGAATTCAATGAGTTTGAAAAATCAATAAAAGTTTAAACTATTTTCCAATTCTTGAGTGGAAAATGTCGCATTATTAGATGATGATTATGAAATCATTGAATACAAATCCAAAAACTACTTAAAAGAAATTAAAAACTTTTAAAATTATAATATTGAAGGAAAAATTTTTAAATAAATAAAAATATTTTTCTTTTCCTAATTTAAATTCAGAGTAAATTTTGAACTAGTTATAAAAAAGGACATACCTAAATTTCTTGTAGATTTCGAATAGTTTTTAATTTTGCAAAAACTTTATACGACATTTGATTAAGTATGTAGAGTGCGATGTGAAATATTTATTTAATAACACAAGGAAAACATTTTTTACTTTAAGAAAAAGCAACGTTTGTTAACTAAGAGCCGAAAAAATATTGCATTGAAAAGATTAGTGCTTATTATTCAGAGCTTTCATTTTTATTAGGAGAGGAGTAGATCCAGACTCTTAACACAAAAATATACATTTACGGCATATGTATATATGCAAAGCATAAATTATCTAGTTAATGTGAAAATCAGTTTACTTTCCAGAAATAACAACCGAAAAATAAAAAAAAAAAATGAGGCCAATACTTTATCGACAGCAATTCTAACGAGAGTGTTGCAAGGAGGTTATGAAAATTACTTTTAAATAATTCCTTTCAATTATTTTAAGAAAGTTAGTAACCTTTCAGCTCACATACCTAGCAAAATGTACCTACAACCGGAATTCAAATATTAAATTTCAATGAATTTCTTTAATTAAAGTCCTTCCAAAAAATGAATGTTAAATATATTGGAATAGTATTTTGAGTATTTTTACTTCACATCAACCTATTGTATTTGGAAAATTCTTTTTAAAATACTCGCAAAAACGTTTAAAAATTTTACCAAATTCAATAGCAAAAAACGAACAAGAAATTCAATGTTATGCTGGGAAATTTGAAATGGTGGTGTATACAATGGTGCTTCTTGTCCGTAGAAGTACGCAGTGGTGCGAGGCACAAAACAGAAACACAAATATTTCAACCGGAATATAATAGCAGTCTTGTTATTAATATTAAATTAATGATTAATATAGAGCTGTAGTTAGTTTTAGCACAAAGGATTCTTCTTACTGTTCGCTGCATTATAGTTTTCAAACATGCTTTTCAACCAGTAAAAAAAAATTTTCAATAACTCTATATTTATAACTTAGGTATAGTTTCAAAAATTTGTATAGGATTTGAAATATCCCACAATACTGATTAATTTTCTAAATCAAAAATTTATTAACTCCGAAAACAAAATTAAAATATTGAATTAGTAAATTAACTATATTCCGAAATTTATTTTAAAGAGCTCTTTTATTTATCAAAATTACGGTAACCGGAAACGAAACATAAATGCAAATAGAAAAATTTTGAAACATAAATTGCAATAAATTTCAAAAAAAATTTTCGTAAAAATGTTCAAATCAACAATCTTTTTCAAATATATTTCAACTACTGTAATTGCATTCATGTGCATATTTGTGCTTGTATGCACACTTTATTATCATTATTAAACATCCTGTTTTTAGCTTAACAAACATAATCTTGTACTTCTACAATTTTTGTTGCATTTGAAAAAGCGCTTAAAGAATATTGTAAATTTTTTTTGTTATTCATTTTTACTTTTAATATTAAATATTTAACAATAAAGAAGAAATAATTTTTAATATACAAAAAAAAAAAAACTATTATTATCATATATCTTGCATTATATTATATTGTTATACGTTCATATTGTTATATTTATACATACTTTTATACTTCTTTTAAAATAGAGTAACTGCCATACAGCATTGGATGCTTGTAGAGAAGATCCGTCCTGTTCAACATCATTACAACCAATGTTAATACATTGTGAATCGCATCGATGCAATCGTAATGCATGCATGGCTGCTCTACAACAATTCTATAAAGGTCCACATGAAGATTTAAGTTTGGATATTGCATTCTGTTTATGCAAGTGAGTATATATTTTTTGAAATATTATACACATATATATATATATTATATATATCTATACTGTATTCGAATATGAACTTTTTCAATATAACAGAAGAATATTTATATTTAGTCATTTGAATTGAAAGAAAAAAAAAAATGAAAATGAAAAAAATATTAAATGGATTCAACAAAAGGCTAAAACGAAAATCAAATTTTATATAAAATATCGATTTAGCAACTTGTTTGTTTTATTTTTCTCTTCTTGTCATAATTTTCTTTCTTTCTTTTCGAAAGAAATTTCATGTCCTTTTGGTCTAGTTCTAGTACTTAAAATTAAATAAGTAGATAGTCTATATTATCGGCTATATAGCATTAATTTTCTTTATACATATAATAAAGAAAAATCTAAATTATGATAAAGAAATTCTAAATTTAGAATTTCTTTATCATAATTGCTGTGTAAATTCAAATTTGTGGTAGGTTAGATTTCTTTATATAAATTCCCGGTAGAATGACATTACTGTTCTAAATAGTAGAATACTAATATTGTTCAAATAGTGGAGACAAAAACAATTATGTACACATATTTTAATATTAATAACAAAAATTTGCAATGTTCCTTATCATAAAATCTCCAACAGGCAATCATTCAACAAAATTTTGTTGAAAGGCCATGTATTTCTTAAACCGGATTTTTAAGTCCCTATATCTTCCCTAAATCCTCCCTAAAATAAAGCAAAAAGTTTATGTTATTAACAAAATAAACAAATTTTACTTTCACTAACATAACAAACTACAATAATCCCCCCTATAACGCGGTATATTCGTTCCGCATTATAGGAAAATGCGTTGCAGGAGTATTTTCGTATAACGCGCTCGTATGAGCTCGTATAACGCGTTTTGCACAAATGATTCATGTTTAACTTTTCTCGTTGAAGGGGGTTCAAATCGAATCTTAAGAAAAAATTATGTTTAGAACTAAATATGTATGTGCGTTTTATTAAAATCAAACTAAGAATATTTCAAATAAAAAACTTATGCATATGTATCTAAAAAACGGTTAATTTCAATTAAATTACATAAATCTAAAAACAGTTTTATTACTTGTTTATTCGCTGTCGGAGCTATCTGAAATCGCGTAGTATGGAAATGAGTTATTAGCGCGTTATAGGAGGGATTAGTGTATAATTCTTTGATTTGGATTATTTTTTATTATGTTGTACAATTCTGGGCGCTGGTAACATTGGGCATAAAATCTTAATCCTATTCCATATGTGCAAAGAAATATTATTGTCTTTAACTTGCAGTTTCTCATAAAATTAAAATTAGGTTTTATTCAAAGAAATTATAGCAAAAACATTGAATTAGGAAAAAAATTAAAAACAGTTTTATTTTAAATTTTTAATTGTACAAAATCTTTAAGTTAAAGTTTAACACAAAAATAATTCACGAAGAAAATTCAGAATAGTACGCTCTTATGGTATTCAGTAGTATTTATAGTCATGTCACAATTATTTAATTCGAAAACAAATCAATTCTAATAGAAGTTATTTTGATAAACTCTCAATCTTTGCTTATTATTGAAATTTTGAGAAATCAAATCCATGGAGCTTTTGCTAAAAATTTCATAAAGTTTGCAAATTCTTTTAGATTTTTCAGTGCATTCACGTTGCGTTCTTAAAAGAATTTTGTTTTTTAAAATCAATTAACAATAAAATTTTTTGAATTTCTCAAATTTTTCTTCAACACACTTAAACTGCAAGGTGCCAATTAAGATTTACCATTTAATTTCTTCAAAATTAGTTCTTGAGTCTTGATTTTGAAACTAAAATAAAATCTCATTAAATAAAAAAATTTTCAAAAACAGTTGTTTTTACGAGGGGAAGGAGGAATTAAATTTTTCGAATCAAATATGGGAAATGTTTGTTTTTTTTTCATTAGAATCAAAAAACATACATATAGAATCGAAATGAATAGATTGTTTAAACTTATAGAGATTAACTTATCAATTACCTGTAAGCTAAATTAAATGCTAATGCTACATAAAGGAAAATATTAAATTTCCAAATTTTACTAACACATAACATTCTTAGAAATTAAAAGTAAAATTTTTTTCTTTCCCAAGCTAATCTATGAATGTAATTTTTCTCTAAAATTATTTTCATTTCTTCGGTTTTAATATTAAAATCTCATTTTTCGTTTATTAATGGAAATTTCAACTAAAGATTTAAATTTTAAAAGGTTTAACTATATATTTTGTTGAAAAGGAATACAAAATAAAGTTTATTTGGATTTTCAACATTATAGTAGCACATACACACACTCATATACACACGAGTACGAAAATAAATTTTATCTTGTCAAATTTTACTTTTTATTGTAATTTTTTATTTTTATTATTTTTACATTTTGATTATGTAGTTTTTTTTTCATTTATAGGAAAATACCAAGCCGTCATGATGTATGCATGATCGCACAAGAAAAACTTCATCCGGTATGTGCACAAAGACCACCTGAAAACTTATATCCACAAAATTCAAATGGAATATATTATCATCCACCACCAGGATGTCACATTGTAGCTGATTTATGTAAAGAGGATCGAGAGTGCAGGTAACAAATATTAATACACATATTATCTATATATATATATATATATATATTTGACTAAAATGTATAATACCCATAAAATATAATATATTCGTACATTCATACTAAATTCAACAATACTAATGCATGTGCAATGAAATTCATTCCATTGTAACAACAAAAAAAAAATTAAAATGGAAAATTTACCCTATTGATTTGATTTTTTTCCTTGAAAATTGTAAAAATTTAACAAGGTTTTTTTCATTTTCTTTGAAAACTTATGCAAGTATATTTTTAAATTTCATGTCAATAATAAGGAATTAAAGGGAGAAAAATAATGCCAGTTAAATACAATGAAATTTCTTTAGTACACCTTACCTTACATACAGTAATTTTCCTTACTTATATGAAAATTTGAGAATTATTGATTTCACCCATATTATACCATAATTGAATCGATAATTAATGAAATATTTTGTAATTTTTATTAGATAAGATTATGTTTGATTTTAGAACATAATTCAGGCCTCATATTATATAATATAAGGGTTTGTTCAATAAAATTTACAAAGAATTGCAGAGTAATTCCATCTTAAGCGAATTTCTGCGGTTTTAATTTAATCTTAATTTTTTTTCACAAGTCTATTTTTACAGTTAATTATCTATTTAGTTATTCAAGTGCTAATGTTTAAGTGGCAAGCGAAACCTGTATTATTAAAACATCCTTCTTTGACTTTATTCTTCAATCCTTTTAAAGGCATTTTTCTCAAAGGCATTTGAAGCCAAATTATCACTTTTACGATACTCTAAATAAAATATGAAAAAAAATTATAATCTCTATTCTACATAGGTCTTTATTTACTATTATATTCAAAATTAATTTAAAAATCATAAAATTATCCTATATATAGCATAAAGTATACAAGCAGAAATATTAAAACACCGCTGTTCATAGAAAAATTGGCTGAATTTATTGCCTTAGCAATTTCAAAGAATATTAGTGTTGAAGTTTCAGAAATTTAATTTCAATTTGTCTATTAAATAGAAATCCTAGATTTCTATTTAATAGAAGTACATAAGTCCCATTCTTTGGAACTTTATGATTTTACTTTTAAAATTTGTTAATAATTTTCCAAAATTAACTACAACAATTTTATTTTTAGATACTTTTGAATTATAGTTTCCAGAAAATTGAGTTGAATTTAATGTAAAATGACAGAAATTTTGGAATTTTAATTAATATTCTACTTTAAATGATGTACAAGTTTGACAAGCTAAATTTTGACTAAATAAATACGATAATCTTAAATGTGTTTTTTTATTATATTAATTTTTATAATACAAAACTATATAAAGTAAATTCAACTGTATTAATTATTTATTGAGAATGGAATTTATCTCAATAATTTCATATTTTTTCCAAAATCCAAAATACGAGTGAATAAATTCAATAAATAACATCCTTAATTTCACATTTAATCATAATTGAAAATTGACTTTATAAAGTTGCACATATTATATGGTATATGTAATACAATTTGTACTCATATCAATATTAATCAAAAGTATACCCAAATATCTAAAAATTTTATATCTAAAATAAAATATTTAAGTATAAATTTTTGTGAAATTACTAGAAATATGTCAGTCAACTTTTGCTTTCATTATTAATAATATTTACGTTTAAAGTAAAATTCAAAAAGGATAATCGAAACTAATCAGATACGCGATACTATATGTATGCATGTACATACAATATTATATGTTAACACAAATATTAATGTAATTTTATACACTATAAATAAATCTTTGTAAAGCTTTAGTTTTTCGCTGTAATTTAGCATCATTTGGTACTTACTTCCATTTTTGCTGAAATTTTTTCATTTAACAGAAAAAAAATATTTTTTGTCTTTTAGCTTTAATATTGTTTCAAAACTTCAAATGAAATTTTTATGCAGTTCAAATGAAAAATTAAGTTAATAATAAATTATTGTCATTTTAAGTATTTGGTTTGAGTAAAAATAAATTTTTAATACTGAAAAGATTCGCTTATTTTCCAATATTATAAAATTTTTAGAAAAATATAAATATAAATAAATGTAATATACCACAAATAATTTCAGTAAAATTAAATTTTAATCATTTCATTTTTTGAACATGGTATGGATGATTATATGCGACTCATTATTATTTTAGCATTATACTAAATAACAAAAATGAACTCGCAAAATATAAAAATTTATATCCATACACTAGAACAGCAATAGCCATTGAGTTGATTTGGAATAATCTTGAATTTTCCATTACAAAATAGCTTTGTGTAACAAAACGACAGCACTGCATAAATTTAAAAAAAAAACAAGTGATTTCATTTTCAATTAATTTTATTTATAACTTCGCGGAATACATTTCGATTACGTCAATTCATAAAATACCTGCAACTAAAATTATTGATTTGAAATAAAAACAACAGAACTGAATTTACGTAAAAGAAGGTTCATCAGTTTCTCTATATATTTTTTATTTAAAACACAATCTATTAGCAATTATTTTATTTATTAATTAAATTATTTCTTCAGAATTTTTTTATATCTTTTTATCTATTTTGAATATTGTTCCACAATCCCTGAAAAGTATTAGCTATTTCAAATATTTTGAGAAAGAAATATTATTTTAGTAAATATTGCATACTTTCAGGGTAAATACCAAAAACTAACGTATGCGTTGACATTATGGCTGAAATCGATGACTGTTAATATTATAATTATGTTTTAAAAGCTCACAATTTTGAAAAAATAAAAATATGGTAATCTTAACTTTGCCTTTTTCAAATTTTCTTTTCAATAAATATTTTTCTTGAATTTGTTTGAAAAGTCTGTAGAAAATTGTGCTCTTTATTTGTAGAAATTTAAATTTTTATCAAAAATCTGATTTTGGCCGTTTTCTAGAAAATTTTCACTTTTATAAAAATATTAAGCAACACTAAAATTCTATTTAAAAATTAAAAATACACTAGTGTGGAAAATACAAGTAGCTATATGATTTTTTTTTTGCTATTTTTATTTTTAATTTTAAATCCATAACCCAAAAATCTCAAGTGATTTAAATATTTTTGTATAACATTTTAATTGCCATTTATGACAGCTTCCTTTTCTATTTTATATACACAGTACAGTTATTCCTATACTTCCACTCATGAAAGATTATATTCATTCTTGTTCGTACATATGTACACCGAACTTACCCATAATTGACTCTTTCATTACGAAAATGAAAAGAGAATATTTTCATTCATATTATCCGTCTTCATTCAAATGTACATAATACATACATACCCACATGTTATGAACACTTAAAATTTTGTATAAATGGTTATAAAATGTGAATATAAAATAGAGGTAAAATTTAAATGGCAATTAATTTGACATCTTTTGACTATTATATTTCCCTTAAAATATAACATTATGTTCACTTAGTTTATAACAATATTAAACTAGTACATATTTAGTATCATTTAAGCCAAAAACAAAAAAAAAAAAACAAACAAGAAACAACAATAAAAAGACGGCACAATTTTACGATATAGAATTGCTAAAAATTCAAAAATAAAAGTCAAATATTTAAGTAAACATACAAAACAAAACAAAAAAACAAAACAAAAAACCGAGAAATTTGTTTCTGATTAGAAATTTAATATCCAATATTTTAACATACCCCCTCCTCCCCCCTCATCTTCTACATGTTTTGGAGTTAGAATTGGTATAACAACAATATTATACAAATAGTATAGTGAAAATTTCATCAAGAAAATATGAAAGAAGCAAAAAAGGATTTTAACCAGTTCAAGGATACTAAAATATATTCTTTTTTTGGGTCATTATTATCTATGTACACGTGTTTAATTTAAGTATATATTTTATATAATGAACACATTAGAATATTGTATAACAGTACTATATAGTAATTACAATAGATATACATAAATATGGTTTGTAATTATAAAATTTTATAAGGATTTATGTCAGAAATTTTTTAGTTTTTCATTTTTTTTTCTTTCTTCCCTTTTTTTTTTTTGGGGTTAAAGATTTTACATTTAGAGATTTTATTTCAAAAATTATGATTTTAAATTTATGATATTCTTACCTACTATATTACCATACTAAATTTTTATGTAATATGATTAATGTATATATATATATTTAACCTAGAAAATGTATTCATTTAGCTAAAATATAAATATGTATATATTAGTTCTAATATGTGGAACATATAAACAAAACTATTATGTCTATTAATACATAATAAATAATGTATTTTAAGTATTACATTATTTTGTACAGATATAGGCATATTGCCATACGTGTATCAATAGGCACATGTTAATATTTAAAAATGTAGGCAGGATTTTCAGGAGTCAAGAAATTTAAAATTTACATAATATATATACTTATATAATATTAAATAACTATCGAGTATGATAGCTTTTATTATTTAAGGTATTTGAATCTTTAAAAATATTATATACGAACGCATACTCATTTAAATTTCTCATTTAATATTTTTAGAAACTAATTTTCTCCAAAAAAAATCATATATGCAAATATATTATATAATGTTGTTAAAATACGAATCCAAATACCTACTTAGAATAAATTATTTACATATTATATAAAATTTTCATAAAAAAAAATTATTTTCAAGGTTTCAATTTTATATATGTATATAGACTCATAATATCTCTAATATAATCCATATTATATATGAATAGTTTACCTTAAATTTTAATATGCACGGGTTTTACCTGTGAAAATTGATATTTTTAGAAATTACTCAAGTACCACCATATATATATTGAATATAATATATATTAATATATAATAATATAATATACATATAAATGTTTATATGTATAAATATTTTAAATATTTTGTTATAGATATATGCATAAGATATGGGATTTAAAATTTTAATATAGAGAAAAAACTTTTAAAATTTTCAAAAAACGTTTATATATTTAGATATTTAATTAAGAAATTGCAAAAACAAAATTCTAAATTATATTGAGCTAAAAACCGGAAATAACAACTGCAGTTAAATATTTTGCTACTATACAAATATACATGAATGTATTTAAATCTGCTAAATGTACAACCAGCGTATATACGAATAAATTTACAGGCAGAAGCGATTAAGAAAATTTCTCTGAACTCTCGGTATCATATATGATATTACCGTTACCTCATATGATACGATAAAAATACTCGAATTTCTTGTGACATTTAAAAAATATTTTGAATCACCTGAATTTATTATAATTTTATTGATAATAATTAAATGTCATTTATGTTATCCAGTCAAACCCTTCTAACATCAATTTCTGTAAGAGGAGATTTTCCTAAAAACGAATTCTTTCGTTCAATTTTGCGTCATAAATTTTTTGTTATTCGTATTATATATCGCGAATTCTGTCTAACAAGAAGTAACATGGCTACAAAATGGTTTTATAGATTATAACAAAACGATTTCTAGTCAAATTGCAGCAGCTTAAAAATATGTAAGTATTTCAGGTAATTTATGAAAATCTACTTGAGACATCCTGTGTCGAATTATATATAGTTTTAGGCGTTTTTGAAATTGTATTAAACCGCATCAATTTTTAAGTCATTATTGAGGTGGTTTTTTTTTGAAAATGGTACAAATTCACTTTTAAAAAAGACTAAGTTAATGGCAATTTTGATAAGTTATATAGGCTCATTTTCTCCACAGTTACAATCTCAATTATAAATCAGAAAGAACACTTTTGCTGTCTCGTACAATGCTATCGCATATTAATTCAAACGCCGATATCTACAATAGGTATATATTAAGTCTTGGTATGATTAGTGTTAAATATTTCAATATATGAAAAAATAGACTTACACCATTTCAAACCATGGTTTTTGTACAATTATCATGTACATAAATTGATTTAAAATTACTATTATTTTTATATCATATTTTTTCTCATTAATAATTATTAAATTAGAATAGGAATTAAGTTAGTTTAAACATAACATTGTATTGTGCGAGTAAAACAACCTTTGTATTTAGCAATGCTTTGAAATAATTGAACAAACCTGGGAAATAAGTCAAAAGGTCAAAAAGGATCTAAGTGTTCTAAATAACAAGAATACCAATATCAAAAAAGAAAGACAATGTGTCAAGGACACTTTCAAGGTAAATTTAAATAAAAACTTCGACACAGTCTATAATTAAGACTACACTTATTTAAAGTAATTGAAACAAAAAAGTTAACGGAGAAGCAAAAGCAAAATTTTGCTTAATCACCATGTTTGTCAGCATATTTTTTTGAATTTTAATTTTTTTTTTAGAATTTAAGAAATGTACTAAAAATTTTATTTAATTTAGAAATTAAATTTACGGAAAACTAATTTTTCAAAAATTATTTGATAGTTCCTAAAATTTAGTGTAAAAGAAGTAGCGAATGTAAAAGGAGTTGGAAATTACAATTAATACTACACTGTCTTGTCCATCGTTGCTTAAAACTGAATCAAGACACTTTTAATTTTGAGACATTTTTAAAGGAAAGATCATTTTAAGCTACATTCATTTCGATAATGAGCGTAGTGTTTTATTTTCTAGTTTCTTAATGTTTTTTATGTAATTCAATTGTGTAAATGAAATTATAAAGCCTTAACTAAAAAAATCAAACTGTATATTAACTAGTCAAACTTTGCTTGCAATATTTAAGAACTTTTTTTTCTAATTTGGTTTTCAATAAAATATTTTATACTTTACAGAAAAGTTCGTAACTGAGGGGACATTGCCATACTTCAAAAATAAATACAAAAAAATTAAACTTTTAAAATATTATAATTGCCTTACGTCTTCAAGATCAAAATAAGTTCAAAGATCCAAACACCAAAAAAATCCAATTTTACAATTTCTAAAAACAAATCTTAAATACACAAAACAATTTACAGAAATATAAATATATTTATAACTATTTATCAAGGAAGTCACAAAAAAAGGACAATTTTTTATGCTTCGAAAATTTTTTCCAGCTAAAATGAAAAACATTCTTTTAACTAAACAAATTTACCCTCCAATCAACCGTGATAATTTTTTTAAATTGTTCAAAAATAAGAAATGGAATTCCGGACTTTACATACCTTATAAATTAGTGTTCCCCAAACAAAAAAACAATAATTTCAAAATAAAAAGCATGTCGTTTAAAAAAGGTCCTGAATTTGCCATAACATTTTATTTTTATTGAATATAATAAGATTTATGTGTGTGCCTGTGTGTTGTATAGGTATTCCCTTCTAGTACTTATTATTTTTATTAAAGTGGCAAGTAATTTTAATTTTTTTCCAACAAAATGATAAAATTAAAATAAATAAAAATGAGAAAATACGCTTGGATGACATTTATTATGTTGTTGCCTCATAGAAATAAGATACGTTTCCCATTGATTTTTATGTTCGAAATATGATATTGTTGCGGAAACTTAATATGAATTTTATATAGGAAGGATACTAACATCTATGGGGTTGTTTTGCTCTTATACACAATGCAGCTTGAATGCATAAGTAGTTTCAGTATATTACTCCAAAATTCTACTTAGTTTTCTTAAACTTACTATAGTTTTATATAGGTACGGATAAATGTTTACTTATAATGTTGATATTAGGGTTTTGAAAATCAATTAAGCTTCTTCCGAGACACAATCCCCAATTTAAAATAATACCGGTTTTTATTTATTATAAAACATCAAATAATTTGGAAAAAACCTCTACAAATTGAAGGAGCTAATTTTAGTTGGAATTTTCATTTAAACACTAAATCTCAATATTATATTTTGCTTCTGAATATTTCAACTCTCAAAAAACACAAAAACGATTGAAAATTCAACAATTCTTTAAACAAATTTTTTGCAGTATAGTTGCAAATAAATAAAAACATTTACAGATTTAACAATTTATCATACGAAATTCGCAATATATTTTAATCACACTATTAAATTAGTTCAAAGTTAAAAGCCACTGGATAATGTTGTTGAATCCTTAAATTATCTACACTAGATTTGTAGATTTCTACAACCGGGGTAACAATGCAATGCAACTATGTATAGGAATTTATTGTTCCCCCTTCTTGAGTGCAACGCATGCCTCACCGGGTGAACTCCAGCATATTGGGAGGCCCGGAGGATCCTAACCCACAGTATTTACCTTCTCCTATGAGCGAGAGCAACATTCTCCCGCATAAGATGTACTGAGATTTCCCCATCCTACCTACAAAATCTGCAAGTATCACTACTTTCCCGGACTGAGCCTACTGAGGTGCAGTTTTTAGTGTTACAACAAGATCCCAGTTAGAATTATTTCCCTGATCACCTGATTCTTTCGCAATCCTATAATCCTCTTAAATAGCTTCCCAGCGCTCCGACAACCTGCTCTCTGAATCCTATCATACATCCATTATCTACAATAAACGTTTAAATTCATCGGCTTGTAAAATTCGAAAAAATCAATTCGTTATGTTCAAAAAGAAATTGGACACATTTTCATAAATAAATTTTCATTTTTTGGAATACGCAAATATGCAGTAAATTAAAACATTAAAATCATCAAAGGAAGAGGACAACAGAATTTTCCTTATTACAATCTTAATTCTGAATAATTGCCGTAAGCTACGCTTATAGTTTAGCAGCATTTTTTTTCACATAAGAAAAATAAATATTATAGAAGCATTTTAAACCAATTTCTTTTGTTATGACAACCTTTAAGCAAAATAATTTTTAATAGGCTTACCCATTTATTTATATATACATAGGAATATATAAGATATTGGTCCAAGATTTTGCTTCAAAAATAAAAAAAAAGGCTCAGAAATTTTTACAAAAAAAAAAAAAATAGCAACATTTATAAAGAAAATGAAATTATAAAGAAAAAGGAAACATTCAATTTCCTAAATCGGATTTTCCATTTTAAATTTTTTGTTTTTCATTATTTTCTCTTATATTCTGGCTAATTTTAAGTAAATAATCCCAATTTATTATTTCAACATATTCACAAATACCCAAACCATTCTAATTTTCTTTTTTCAAAGAAAATCAACAGACAATTTAAATTTATGTTTGCAAAATACAATCTTATATACTACACATGAGTATGAATACAAATGTATTACATGCCCCTCATACAATTTCACACACATGCAAACATATTCATTAATACATAGGGATTTTAAACTTTTTATAACACAAAAATGCCTACCATACTAGAATAATAATAATATTAATAAGAGAAAATTTTTGTTTTTTATTTATCAGAATAAAATTAGAATTCTATGAGCAAGCATGTGCGGTCGATAGTGTTACAAGAAAATGTGCTGGAAGACCAAGTAGTTGTCGTTCTGCATTGATTGGTATTTTAGGAACGCCTTTACGTATAAATTGTGCATGTCAAGGAACGGACGAAACAAATTTATATCAATGTTTGGGATGGCAAAGATTATTGTGGTTGAATCCATGTGTTGGTATGAAAATTTTAAATATTTTTAAATTTAATAAAAATTTTTATTTTTCCATCCTTTTGAATTTAATATTATTGTTTCTTGATTTTTTTGTTTGTTATTGATATTTTTTGTACATTAGATTTTTAGATAAAATTTAAAAAATTTAAATTTCTTTTTTAATATTATAGTTGAAGCTCAAAAAGATTTTCATGTTAAGAGATTAGCTGAATTAGGTTTATTAACAACATTAGCTACAACTACTACAACAACAACAACTACAACAACAACTACAACACCAGCACCAACTCGCCCACCAATTGTTGTTTATCAAAAAACAACAAGAACACCTATTATACCGAAAATTACTGTACCAAAACCAAGGCCACCAATTGTAAGTATTACAAAAGTTGTTAATCATACAAATTGTATTTGATATTAATTACACAATTATTAATAATTATATAAACATATATATTTATTATTCATAATGAATAGCATTCAAATGAAATTGAAGAACAACTTCCAGTAACATTAAAAGAGAATGAACCAAATAATAATGATTTAGATGAACTTGATAAAAATAATGATGATACATATGAACCACAAGAGTCTGAAGAATCTGAAGGTAAAGATATTATACCAGTATATCCAACAGAATTAATACCAACACCAGAATTAACAACGGTTTCAACAACAACATCAACAACAACTGAACCAACAACAACACAAGCACCAAGTAAGTGCATGCAATTTGAAAATTAAATAATTTCCATGTCATTCTTATTCAGTTCTGTTGGTGATGACAATTTTTGATTACAATAAACAACAACAACAATGTTTTGACTTAAATACAACTTTTGAATATTTACCCTTGTTCTCTTACATTTTTAATTAATTCCCTGCCTTCTTATTTTACACTGTAATTTTACAAAGTATTCATTTATCTTCTATTGTTTTCACGTGCCAGAAATGAATTGTTGAAATTTCAGGTTTTGTTAATTTAAGATTTACAAGTGAAATGGATTCAGAAATAATTTAAATTGGAATAATCCTATTGACAAATTAAAATTAGAGAACTCTTGTTGCAAAATGAAATTATGTCTTGTTCAAAATGTATAAATTTACTTAATCTTAACTTATGTACTAAAAATTACCATTAAATACCTTGTCTTAGAAATAACTACAACCCTATTTAAGAGTCGGAAAACAAAAGGACGAATTTTTGTACAAAAAAGAAAAAATTTTGTATTTAAATAACCACTTTCCCTCATATAAATTTTTTATTTTTCTTTGTCCTTTTAGGAAATTGTGTAGTCCAGCGTCCACACCAATCAGATCAATTAATTCCAGAAGGAATGAGTAGGAGAGTAAGTAAAAATAAAAAAAAATTATACAGGACGGTTTTTTTCTTCTCTTTTATTTTCTCTTTATTTTAATGCACTTTTCTTTTTCTTATTTTTTAATGGTTTTCCTTTTTGGTAAAAATCTCTGCTACCATTGTTTAAAAGTTTAAATTTTGAATTAATTTTCTGTTTTCTTCTTTTAACATTGTTGAATTTTCAAAACAACCAAAAAAACAAAGAAAAAAAAATTCAACATAAAACTAAAAAATTGAAAAGAATTGATGTTAAAATATAGACAAAAAAAAAAACAAAAAAAAAATTTTTTTTTTATTTTCAAACGATAAAAAACATTCACATCCTTTTTCTTGTTATAATTTTCTTTTAAAAAAAAAACAGATTTATCTATTGGAAGAATCTGAATGCAGTGATCTGTGTACCTGTGGTGAATCACTAACATTAACATGCCATGCACTTTGTGTGCAATTTACACCATGTAGGACAGCGCTTGCATTTTATAGTCATGCATCACCAGCATACCAAGCGTATCGTGGTAGATGTTTATGCTATTCAGGACGTTTTATATGCATGAAACCACCTCTTGGAGAATATACATTACCAGGTAAAAAGCATATACATAATATATTAATGATTTTCTCTACATAAATGTAATTTATATACCTATATATATATATATATATATATGTATAAGATAAACAAACACACACATAACACATAATCATAAAAGTACATAGAACATAATATAAGGACATAAAATGCATCATCAGAAAAAAAATGAAAAATGAAAGAAAAAATTCATGTAGATTAAAAACGAAAATTAAGGATAAATGTATGTACCTACATTATGTGATTTCAGGAGCAAAAAACAAAAAATAAAGAAAAAGAAAAAATTAAAATTTTCTTGTTAATACAAGTGGTTGTTGACTCAGATTTTTAGGTTATGGTTTTCTACCTTTTATATACTTCATTCTTTACGTATTATAATGACTAAATTTTTTTATCTTTTCACCAACAGTTTTTTCTTTTCAATATTTTTTGCTATAGTTTTTATGTAAAATATCCTTACTTAAAGGACAACAGTAATAGTAGATAATATTTATTTAGTTCACATAAAAAATGAAACTTGTTATATACCTTGTGATATGAAGTTTGTATATGAACGCCATTCATTTCTTTATGTATGGGAGATGTTGGTAGGAGTTAAGTCCTCTATTTTTCTCATTTTGAACAGAAAGTCGAATGCAAAATTGATTTGAAATATTTTAATTTATAAATTTCAGAGTAACACTAGATTCACTTGATTCATAAATGATTTGTAATTGAATCTCGTTAAAAAATTTTCATATCAAATGACGTAACATACATTTTGTGCTAAATTGATCACTTATCATAAGGTACATAATATACTATGATGTTTTCACTTTTAACCTTAATTCACGCATGATTCCATATTAATAATGTCTACATTAATTCGATATGATTTGTTATCGATTTCAGCAAGAAGTGATCAAATAATTTCAGGTTTCGATTCATCCATTGATTCAAGATCTTTTCAAGATGAAACAAACCTTTGATACACAATCAACTATCGAGCAGCGATTGCAGCTTTAGAAAACAAATTTAAACTCGTAATTGATTAAAGTTGCGACAAAGCTTAAAGTTTCCTTTAAAGACAAAGCGTATTTAAAGGAATAAAACATAATTGTATGCTTCGGATAAACCATCCAAAATGCGGTTGCAAAATTTCTCACATATATTACGTACGTGGTCATAAAGATATCCAGCCATTGGGCTTCAGTATTCCCCTAATTTTGTCGGTATTAATAAATACAATGAACAAAGTCCTGAAAATTAAAACTAAATTTATTTTTAATTCAATTAGGCATAATTAACATATTTTCATCAAAATGACGAATAGAAAGTAAGATTCTCTATTTCTTTTGTCATATTTTCAATTAGTTTAATTAGCCAATAATTACCGGTAAATAGATTTAATTTGAAAACAACTTGGGTTGCCCTAAACAAATTTCATCCTTTCAATTTTTTCCTTTTTAATACTTTTATATGATGAATTGCAATTTTAATGATGTGTAAAAGTAAACTTCATATTTCTTTTCATTTAATTTGTGTATGTATAGGTGCATAGTGATTATCCTTGACAAAATATCTTACAAAAACACATGCTATAAAAATTTTAGCTACTCTTAAAAGAAAAGAAATTTTCGTATATAATTTTCAAAATTACAATTTTTTTTTTTCTTTTCTAAATTCAGGTGGAATATTTTTATTACTCGGTTATAGTTCCACAGATGAAGCATTATTGAGACCTCATACAAATTTAGGTGTACAAGATGCTGTAAGAGCTTTACAACAATATGTTATTAAACATATTAATAATGAGGTAAGTAAAATTTTAAAGTGTCAAACCAATTTACCTAATTATGAAACAGTTTTGTAAGAAACGGAATTTTAATAAATTAAGTGAAGTAAATAATTTTAAAATAGATGAAATTGTAAACTTGTATTTTTTAATTAAATTAAAATTTCATTTATTCGCGTTAAAAGTAATTTAAGTAGATCTGTTAAATAGTTTTTAAAACGGTTTCTGAATTAAAAAAAAATTAATGAATAAATAAAAAAACAGTTCTAAGAAGTCGTAATTCGTACTCTGTCTTCTTAGTCAAGTTAAAATCAGAACAGTAGCGATTTCCAAATGCAAAATGAAACGAAACTACCAGCGCTTTAACCGCCGGCGGAAAATTAGTCTAAATTCCTATTTTACCGCTGGCGGGTTTTTTTGCTATTATTTGTATCCCCATGATGTGTTTGCGACATTTTATGTGCAAGTATTGTCCGTTTGATTTTACTGTTTTGGTGCTGTTCAAGGTTAACAACGGAACACACTCAACGTTGCGCCGTTACAGTTTGGCTCTGTTTTTACATCTAATCAGTTAGTGAGAGAGATGCATCGTATCCAGAGCTTAACCCGTAACAAGATTACTGTCCTTCCACGACAATCTTCGTCGCAAGATTTACGAATTTTTTTGATGATATTCAACAGGTTATTCAAAGGCGATATCAAGACCTCCTTTATCAAATAGATTTTTTCTCAAAAAGCTCTTCCCCTTTGCACTATAGACTTGGGCACTCATATTTCTCAATTGTTGCACGTCCTATGTCACCTCAGCGCCCCGGCATTCAAATAAGCTCCAGATATGGCAATGTTGCAATTTCTTTAAGGTTTTTCGTATTAAACAGTTTGTGGTTATAATACAAACTAAAATGCAGTTATTCTTCCTGCTTACAGCCTTGATTTACAAATTGTCGCTTAGAGTTCCTAAACCAAAAAATACACAGACTTCGTTGCTTTACGGTAAATTAATAACATGGGTAAATTTTATTGTCGCAAAATGGTCATTAGGTAGCCTTTATCTTGAATTCTTGTCTTCGCGCTTTTCAAATTTTTTCTACTTACAGGCAAATGTAAAAGCTTTCAATACCGGTATATTCGTTAATTGTTCCGTTTTTTACAATTTTTTTTTCTTCTGCATTCCTGCCTAAATTATTACCTCTAAAAATTAACGCAAACTCAGTATAAGGTTACTCATTTTATTTTTATTTTTCACAAATTTGGAAGTCACTTACCTGAATATAGACGAATTCAGACAATCAAAAATTTCTTATTCTTAATGATTTTGTAATTGCTTTTATAATTTTATTGATTATAAATAATAAGATCTTATGAAAATTGATTATAAAATAAATAAGTAATTAGATAATAAAATTAAACTTTTGTTTTTCTGTTTCATTTTTAATAATAGACACAATGTGTCCTAACACTATTCAATATGACAGACGAAAATGTCATAATATCAGCTCAAATTCCATCAAATGATCCAAAAGTAAAATCAATAGATATGTTGAGAAGAGAAAAGGTAAGCCTTATGTAAAATTAAATTTTCTCTTAAAATATTATTGCCTGCATTAAAATACGTATTATGTAATTAATTTGAGTTTTTTTTTATCTTCGCCCAATTTTGTAAATAGGACGAATGTACACCAATTTTACAAACGATTAGTGATCATATTAATAGTGAACATAGTGAATTACAAGCTCATCGATTACTTAGCATATTTAAAATGTCTGAAGTTGAAGTGATTTGGCCAGATAATAATGGTGGCGCTGGTTTAACAACGTCAATTCATAATAAAATTAAAATTTTTAATTTTGATATAGCTACAAAATATATATTTTTTATTTTAACTATAGTTATAACAATGTCAACATCATCAATACAAAATTATTTTACAACTTCTACCATCAGTTGGATATTTGTAACAAAAGAAATATTTACAGGGACATGACATTAGTTTCAATAACCAAAAAAAAATTAGAAAGACCTTAATATTATTATTCAACCACAACAACAAATAAAATATAAACAATTAAATAAATACAATAAATATTTATAAGAAAATTTAATATATATATATATATATATATACATTAATAATATAATTATAAAGTTATTAATATTAAATTATATTATAAAATAAATACCATTAAAAATAAGTTATGGCGCATAATAAAAATAGAAAAATAAAAAATGCTAGAAATAATTAAAATAAATTGAAAAAAAAAAAAGAAAACATAGAATTTTTTTTTACGAAAAGCTGTAAAGGATAATGTGGAATAAATATTGTATAAATATACACACATAAATATAAAATAAAATGTTAAAATAAATACAAACAAATTAGTGAATTTAGAGAATTAATTAGTTGAAATAAAAAGCATTATACAAATACATATATATAAAATTAATAATGTAACCAATTATGAGCTAATATAGAAAAAAATAATTAAACATGAAAAAGAAATTTATTTAAGTGATAAAATAAAATGTTAATAAAAGAGTTAAAATAGCGAATAAATAATGTTATGATGGCATTAAAAACTACTATAAAAAAGAGAAAAATAATACACTATAGAAAAACGTAAAAGCAACAAAAAATTTTATAAGAAAATAAATTAAGAGAAAACAAAAAGAGAAATTGTACATAGATATTGAATGTAAGTATGTGTAAATGAACGTAAGTATATGCGTTAATTATTAAAATTATTTATGTATATGAAATATTGAAATGTATATATACAAAAATAAAATAAAAAATAAAAATTAAAAATTTAAACGACGATAACACTGTTAATATTAGTTTAAAAATAAATTATAATTAGAGAAAGAGAGCGAATATTTTCTTTCGCTTAATAATTAATTTAATTACAACTCATACAATATTAATTTGAATATTGTAGAAAAAAAATTAATGATATTTAATTAATTGATAGGTTTTAATGGATTTTTAAGGAATAATTTTTAATTCTAACACTAATTTTAATTAGTAGTAATTTTCTTTTTTCAGTTATTAATTCTCTTCTCTTCAAATTTTTAACTCAAAATTGATGTTTATACTTACTCTTACAAGTTTACATTAATGAAAACTGTAAAACTTATGTATTCGAAAATTGTTTGAAACATGCTTCGTAAAACAAATGCAATCGAACAGTTTTGAATATTCTTATTCTTTTGAATAAATTATACAATTTGATCTAAAAAAATTCAATTTTAGTATTAATTTAATTTTGAGTTTAATTCTACAATTTTTATAATACAATATTTGAATGGATTGTAAATTATACAGACAGTAAGCCTGTTATTAATACTATGAAAATCATACTGAATTACATAAAATATAAATTTTAATACATGAAATTGTAAAATCTTCAAGAAAATTCATTCTCCAATTTACAAAGAATATTGCAAATTCAAAATTTTAATTGGCGTACATTCTGTACAAAGGGTGGTTCAGGAGGAAACCCTTGTATCTCAGAAACCATTAAGATGTGACAACTATAATTGCAAACAAAATTTTACCCATTTTTAAATCTGATTAAATTATTCTTTACTGAATCATCCTGTATGTCGCAGCCCTGCGGCAATTTTATTATTAAATAAAATAACTCATATTTGAATTTCAAATGGAAGTTAATCTACTTCTAAAAAATTTACTCAATTAGTAAATAAATAACTATATTTGAAAGATTGTAATTATATTTTTGAGTCCGAAAACCCGTTTTATGAGTTAAAATATAATATGTACTTAGGTACTTTGATCGCAAGTATGTAATATATCGCAAATAACTCATTTTTGTATTATTTTTATATGAATTAATTATAACAAAAAATTGAGCTTAAATAGAACTGTAAATTTAATTGCTTTTAATATTTTTCTAAAAAAATTTTGAATTAAGTTGTAATTTATTTACTGCATATACGTGTAGAAGATTAAATATCAACGTATATAATTATAGAATAAAGTTCATTATAAAATAAAGTTTGTCAAAGAATAATAATTTAACTTCTATATAAGATTTTTTTTATTTTAACTAACCTAAATTATAAAGGAAAGTTGTATTTTTGTCATTTTGAGCAACAAAATCGTACGACCAAATCGTACCATCATATCGTTACTTTATATTATATGTGCGCAATCAATTAATATAATACTTATAATTTAAAATTAAAGTCTTCGAAAATAAATATATATTTATATTATAATATTTTACTACAATACTCATAAAGATTAATGAAATGGCAATGCACAAAACAATGCAAGATCATATATTATTATAATTATATTCGTATATTTAAAATATGACAATTATTAGACTATTGTTAAATTTTAATATTGAAAAAATATCATTATGCTATTCGTATAAATATACATAGTATGTTTGTATAATTTTTTTTATTATGATTTTTAAATTACCATGGTTAACTATCATATTTTAATAATATATGCGGCACAATTTTTATTAAGGAAGTGATCATTTATGGTCATTCATATTATGTTCCATAATTTGAAGAAGAAACTAATGAATAAGTTTAATTTTTTATACATATTTAATTTTTTTTCTTTAATTACCAAAAACCTTCCAACTTTCCCGAAATATAATTTAATACGATTTTTAATTACGATAATTTTTTACAGAGCAATATTTGAAGAATTACATAATTTTTGTTTTTCCTCTTAAAATATTTAATTAATTGAAATTTAATAGAATATTCAATTTGAATGTACTTAACATTTGTAATTATCCTTCTGTATTTTCTAAGACATCCCTTCAAAAGTGATAAAATTCTTTATTAAATTGGACTTACGTTATAAAATTTTCTCTTGTTTTTTTTAATATCACACAAAAAGCCTATCGCTAAATTAAATATCATTTTTTTTGTGAACAAATATTTAAATTAACGCATAAATTAATACTTATATATACATATATATATATATATAATAATTTAGTATAATATCTTGTATAATAGAATTAGTAATAATATTGTACAGTTAAAATAATTAAAGCAATAAAATATGTTTTTAATACAAAATCTGTGGTAAAAAATTTCATTAATTTTTTAATTACATACATATTTTTTATTTCGTTTTTCGCGATTTTTTTTATATAGTATATTAAAATATTACTAAATATTTCAATAATTTTGCGCAATGTTTCATTTTCTGAAAATTTGCTGTGTGGTCTTAATTACATAAACAATGTTGTTTTTTTAATTTTTTATTCAGAATTCCTTGTACTGATCAAATTGTTTAGGTATTAATTGCAAAAATGGCTCATAATAACCATTTGGAAAAATTTTTCAGTGTTACGAGTATAGTTATAAACAATGTATGTACAAATAATATTTCTAAAGTCGGTTTACTTTTGTATATAAGTACAAAGAACAAAATTAAAAACTTTAAATTTTAAACTAAAATCTAATTATTTTAAATTATTCAGCGATTTTTCTTAAATATTTTTCATTTTGATAGCGTCAATTATTGCCTAAATTTTTTTTTTCCTTTACTTCAAACATTTCGAATTTCCAACCATATTTCTCATTGATTTGTCACTGAAAAAAAATTGTCGCTATTTTGACATTTAAAAAACATAACTACAACTTTATATCTGAAGTTGTTAAAAAAAACTTACAAAATCAGCAATATTTTTGGCTCCATATACTGAATACTTCTTTATTCTCAAATGTAGCAAAATTTTATAACTAAATTTTTAATTGACCGTATGAGATTCCTCATACATATGTACATGACAAACAAAACATTTCTAAAATTATTGCATAACATTGAAAATTTAGTTAAATATTATGACTGTTTCTGCAACAGGACATATATATATATATGTATATGCATTTACAACTCTCACTGTAATATTTTTTTTTTGTAAAATATTACAATTCACATTGTAATAATAGAACATTGATGTAATAGATAAAATACAGGCTGCCAATTTGATCAATTTATGTAGCCAATTTTTTCTAAATAAAAAATCTGAAAAGAGAATGCTTAAGTCAAGTGTAATAAAAAACAGCAGAAAATATTATTTTTTCGCACTATCCCGATGTTTACAAGGTTTTGTTACTAGATATGCTATGGCAGATGTAGTAATATTCTTTTTTGACTATATTCTATAAGCTATTTCATTAAAATCGTCTTCTTCTTATTTATATACATAATAGCTACGGTTTTGTTTACAATATTACTAAGTCTATCTGGGTTTGTAAGTCCCAAGTATAACTGGGTTGTATTTTATCATTGATTTTATATTAAATTCATAATACATATATTAATAAGAATTTATTTTAAATTTAAAGAATATGCAATTTTTTTTACATAAAAAACAAAAACCAATTAAAAATATTAAAAAAAAAAATTAATGTAAAAAAATAATAAATTATTTATATTATTAAACTTTTAGAATAAATTATGTACATATACTTATATAAATATTTACATACTTACATAAATTTAAATAAAAAATTTTATAAATAAAATTTTGATTTTAAGTTAAAGATAAATAATTCAGAAAAAAAAAAAAATAAAAATTAAAAGGACAAAGGACAAAAATTGAAATAAATATAGAAAATCAGGAATAATAAAATTTATTTAGAACGAAAAATAATATTAGAACAAAACAAAAACAAAAGGCATACATACATATACATAGAAATAAATACATAATAATAAAACATATTATTGTAATAAATTACATATCTATACAAATGATAAATAATTACAAAATCATAATATAAATACAAACAAACATATACCTACGTATATATACATTATGTAAACGCATATATCACAAAATTTTATCATTTAACTATCATATAATATAACGACATCATCATGCCTAGAAAAACTAAAACACATCATCTAATTACATACATATTTATATTTATATATATATACATACATCTATATTGTTATATTTTGAATAATTATACATAGAAATGCTTATATAATAGAAACCATACCGTAAAATAGTATTAAAGCAAAAAAAAAAAGCATAATATTAAAAACAAAATAAATTGTACAATATTATAAAGTTAAAAACAAAAAGCAGTAGTTTAAATGTGCTCTATACGATATATATACAAACATATGCATCTGTACCCAAACATTCATACATACATATATATCACAATAATATATTATAATTACATATTCTATAATATACATAATATATATTTTAAAATAGTAATTAAAAAAAAAATATATGTATACATATTATTATGTATGATGTATATTATTTGTTTACACTATACTATAGTATATATATATATATATATATATATATATATATATATACAAGAATACAATA